TTCTTTTCTCCTCCCAGGATTTTGGCAATACACATGCCCCCAGAGTTTTTTTTTTTTTTCCAAGCCATGAGGTACAGGACTCGAACCACATAGTTAGAGGGATACTGCCGCTTTAACCACCACACCAGCTGGCTAGCCTTATATTTTAATTCTTTAAAATTGTTTCTATTCACGATAGAGGACACATTATGTGCATGAGAAGGGGAGGAGAGAGAGAGGAGAGAGAAGCATCCTCTACAGAGTCTTGTCACACGGGACCCCCTCTCCTCAGGATCTTGGGTGTCCTGCTTGTTTTCAGGCCAACCCGGGGATCTGAACCCAGGTTGGCCATGTGGCTTCCAGCAGTGCAGTTCAGTGCACTATGGACAGTGCCACCGGACTGGGCCTATGTTATTCTTTTTGAATAGTTTCTAACCCGGGTCTTTGACGATGGCCTTCGAGGTGGTGCGTGTAGAAGGGGCTGAGACAAGCAGTCCTTATTCCCATTTCGCAGATTAGGACGCCGACGCCCAGGTTGCTGGGCCTTCCTAGAATTGTTAAAAGTGCTTTGCTCTGTTCTCCCAGGCACTATTGCAGCCCTTCGATGTAGCCAAGAGGAAGGAAATTACGCAGGCTCGGAATGTTAAGTAGCCATGCAGGGCATCATGTACCCAGCACTAAGAAAGGCAGTAGACCACACAGGGCCTCAGGGGTCCAGGCCAGGAGGCATTCAGTGAGGTCAAACAGGGCTTTAGGGAGCAGTAAGAGTATGAGTGAGAACATTCCAGGCAAGTGGGGTGGTGTGAGCAAAGGCCGGGGCGATGAGAAGTGGGCCACCAAGTTCATCTGTGAGTTCAGGCCGAGTCCCCTACCTGCCGCTCACCCAGGCAGGATCCTCCACACCAAATACTCCTGACCTACAGACAGCCAAGGTGCAGGCCCTCCTGCCCTCCATGGTGAAGGGCCTGAAGTGCGTGGACGGGATGCTGGTGGTGGAGGCGGTCCACAACATCAAGACCATCTTCAAGGGGCAGGACCGGAAGCTGATGGACAGCTCAGTGTACGCGGAGATGCTGCAGGTCCTGCTGCCGCACTTCAGTGATGTAAGGAATCCCATGGGAGGAAGGGTGCCATGAGGAGGGCAGCCTTTCACTGCCCTGGGGGCCGCATACCTTTCCTGCCTGCCCACCGGGACCTAGATGGGGCAGGGCCAGCCCAGAGGAAGGGGCACCTTGGTCCACCTGGTCTCTTCCTCTTTTATGATTGGTCTGCCCAGAGAACCTTCCTCATTCCAATTGGTTCTCATGGAGGGAGCGCTTCTCTGTAACCAAGTCTCCCCAAGAAAGTGACCTTACTGCGACTACTCTGCTGGGAGAGGCCACCTTTTTGTACTGGTCCCAGCAAAGGAGGGCATTTTCCCACTTGGCACTCAGGTACCTTTTAGATTAGTGGGGAACCTGGCTGGGAAGAGTGGAGATAGCGTGACCTAGGCTCAGGTGAGGGTAACACTGACCTGAGGTCAGCCCCTCCGCCCCACTATGGCCTCTGCTGTTCTCCATCTCTGTGCCTCTCCTGCCTGGAGGGTCCCTCGTAATAAGGGAAAAGGGGCCCTCAGGGCTGCCTCCCAGAGGAAGCTGGTCTCAGGGTGTCCCCTGAGCCTGCGGTCTGCCCTAGTCGCGTGAGGATGTGCGCTCCTCCTGCATCAACCTGTACGGGAAGGTGGTGCACCTGCTCCGGTCGGCACACGCCCAGGCCCTGGAGGAACAGTTGACCAGCACGCTGGTGCCCCTGCTGCTGATCATGCAGGAGGGCAACGCCAAGGTGAGCCAGGTGAGTGTGTGTGGGCCCCACGCCCTCTGCTCTGCCTCGGGCCCTACAGGTGGGCCTCCCATTGTGGAGCAGGGGGATTCCCTGTCAAAGTGGCCAGCTCCACTTGCTTGTTTTCAAATAGTAATAGCTGCTCCATGGTCCACTTTCCACATTCGATTGCTGTTCTTTCTTTTTTTCTTTCTTTCCTTTTTTTTTTTTTGAGAGTTTCTTTTTGTGATAGGGCACATGCGCTCACTGGACAGACAGAGAAAGACAGAGACACAGAGGGCAAGAAATCACCCCCCTGGGGGATGGCCATGACATAATCCCTTCTCCTCCATTCTCTTCTTGGGATCTTGGGCACACGTGCACATGTGCCCGGCATGAGTTTAAACCAGACTCAAACCGTGGTCAACTATGTGGGAGTTCAGTGATGTAACCATTATGCCCTCTTTTGGTCCCTTGGGTGCTGTTCTTGAACATGTTCCAGCCCCCCCAGAATCTATAGCTCTGGTAGTGATTTCTTCTTGGTTCCCAGAAATGTGTGAAGACCCTGTTCCGCTGTTCCTGCTTCATGGCATGGGAGTTGCCGAAAAAAGCGTACAGCCGGAAGCCCTGGGATGACCAGCCACAGGTGGTGCCCAAGATCTGCAAGTACCTTGTGAGTGCGGCCAGAGAGCCCGCAGTTCCAACGAGCAGGTGGCAGGCAGGAATTCTGTCCTCTCTTCCTTCTTTTCACACCAGCGTCCAGATTAGCAATTTGTATGACTACCTGAGAGGTGTTGGCTCTGGAATCTTCGGCCCCCCTCTCCCTTTTTGCCCCACTTCTAGGGAGTGTCCCCTGTCCTGTGGCTTACAGGGCACCTCCCCTGATGACCCACAGGCACTTCAAGCTTAGCCTGTCTTTACAATTTATGGCTATCCCATTCAATTCTGCTTTGTCTCTAGATCCTCAAAGCAGAAACCTAGAGTCATCCTGGCCATCATCCTCCCCCTCCCCTTCCACGTTTGATCAATCTTAAGTATCTTGATTATCTCTGAATCTTTTTTGCCCGCCCCATCCTCACTTCTTCACCCTTAGTGCAGGCCATGGCATCTGTAGTTGGGCCACAGGCCCCACCATCCAATGGATCTCCCAGGCTTTAACTTCATCCCTTCCAGCCCATCCCCACCCAGGTTACTAGGGGTCTCCCTGAAACACTCCCTTGTCTATATTATATCCTTGCCTACAGGGCTGTGTTGGCTTCCTCTTCTCCAATTATCTGAAATTTTTTTCCCCATATGAAGGATAATCTTGCTGGGTATAGCACTCTTGGTTGAAATTGTTTTTCATTTAACACTTTGAGTATGTTTTCCCATTCTTTCCTTGCTTATATTGTTTCTGATGAGAGGTCTGAGGTTAGCCTGATGGGATATCCTTTGTAGGTAACTTGATGTTTCTCTCTTGCTATTTTTAGTATCTTGCCTCTGTCTGTGGTTTTGGTCAATCTCGTTATGATGTGCCTTGGAGATCTCCTTGGGTTGATTCTATGTGGGGTCCTTTGTATTTCGTGGGTCTGGATATTTGAGTGCCTCTCTAGGTTTGGAAAGTTTTCTTCCAGGATTTCATGGAATAGATTATCAATGCCCTTATTAGTTTCTTCACCTTCTGGGATACCGATGATCTGGAGGTTTGGGCATTTATTCCGTTTGATTCTTTATTATGGTGTATGTTTCCTCTTTCAGATCGTGCAAGAACTTCCTCACCTCCTGGAACTTTCTCTTTTCTCCTGCATCTTCTGGAGTTTGTTGTCTCTCTTCTCTTGCATCTCTGTTAGCTTTGTCACTATGAATATCCTAAATTCTTTATCTGACATTTCCACAAGTTCCCTTGTGTTGTTTGTGGAGGTTGAGGAGTTACTATTTTCCCTTAGGGGATGGATACTTTCTGGGTTTCTCAGATTCCTTGTACCTCTGTGGTGGTTTCTGGTCATCTGATGGATTATACATTTTTCCTAGTTTTTGGAGTTAAATCTGAGCATTCAGAGGCATGCAGCAGGAGGTGAACTGTGATCTCTAAACAGTTGACAGTGGTCTCAATCCCTGAAAAGCACGCTCAGAACTCAGATATAGATGGCTGGTGATTGGCTTGTCCTGGCTTGATCTGCGAGGCAGGAGGGCAAAGTCTCCTTATTTTAATTCTTTTGAAAAAAATATTGCTAGAGGGTATGTGTGTTCATGAGAGAGAGAGGGAAAGCAAGAAAGCATCTGCTATAGGGTGGTCATACCTCAGTCCCTTCTCCACTTCTTCATTCTTTTGGGATTTGGGGCACATATGCACACACACAGGGTATTTTTCAAGCTGCCAGTTCCAGGACTTGAGCACACGGTATTTTTCAAGCTGTCGGTTCCAGGACTTGAAACACTCTGTTGACCAGGTGGGATCTAGCTGCCTTAACCATCACACCACCGGCTGGCCCTGGCTCCCAATTTTCTAATAAGGCCCTATTCCTGTCCTGCTTTTAAGGGAACTGATAACTCTCCAGTTTATTTCCCACTGCTTTATAACAAACCCCTCACCTGGTTGGACCTGTCTCCTTTCCTATCATGTCTGTCACATGCATGTCCATCCCTGTCTCTGGCTCGATCTGCACTTGAGAACTTTCCCTCTGCCTGCAGCAGGGGCATAGATTAGAAGAGGAGACCCCAAGGCAGGAAGACCATTAACGTGACTGTAGTAATCAGCTAAAGGAAGATGAGGCCTGGCTCTGGGGGCTCAGGCAGAGGGCTGGTTGGCAGAGATGTTTAAGATGCAGAGGGGCAGGGCTTGGAGGCCAACCAGGGTTACCATCCTGAGCGTCCAGTGAGGCAGATGGGTAATCAGTCCCTCCGAGGGCCCAGCACTTAGGTGTTTCTCTCTGTCCCAGGTGAATACCCATCGAGACTGCGCCTTCACATTCCTCAGCCAGAGCCTAGACTACTCCAAGAACTCCCGGGCCTCCCTCCGGAAGTCCTCGGTCATGTTCATAGGTAATCTGCCTAGTATCATGTTCATAGGTAACCCACCTGGCATCACACTTACACTCGCCTGACATTTCCAGTCCTGCCATCAGGGCTCTGCCTGCTCTCCACTTGGCTCCCTCCCAGGCTGCCAGCCCTCCCAGCACCTGGGATGCCTCCCTTGGGTGCTAGGCGTGGCCAGCAGGTGGCCATGATGAATGCTGGAAGGGTCTTCCCTACTCTAGGATCATGCCTTAGGAGGTGGGCCACGAGCTGGATTCAACCTGAAGGTTTTGTGTAGGCTACAACCTGGCAAATGTACACAGCAGAAGTGCCACTTCCCCTGGACAACTGCATGAGTCTGAGCTAGCAGGGCCTTGGGCCAGAGGGGCCAAGTGGCGCAGAGAAGTCCAGTAGAATCTTAGCCCCGTGGTTCCCTTTCCACGGGACCCCGGCTGGATATTTATTCCCACTGAGCCGCAGTCTCCTCATCTGTAAGACAGGGATCAACTCCTGTTGGACTGGATGAGTTGTTTTTGTTTGTTTGTTTGTTTGTTAAGAGGTTTTTACCTTCGGGCATGTGTGCTTGCTGGAAAGAGAGAGAGAGAGCCAGTGAGAGGGAAAGTGAGCAATCACCCCTTGGAAAGGATGGCCATGCTATGATCCCTTCTCTTCCATTCTCCTCCCGGGATCTTGGGCACACACACATGCATGCCTGGTATGATTTTTAAGTCATTGAGTCTGGGACTTGAACCACGGTTAGCCTAGCAATGTCACTGCTACGCCATTTGGCCCCAGATTTTTTTTTTTTAAGGTGAAGCCAGGTTCATCAAAGTGCTCAGTGTTAGTCACCTTCATTCTTCTATTTCCCACTTTCCCACAATCCCAACCTTTGCCTTTCTGGAAAAAGATAAATAGCAGATTTCTTCTTGCCCAGAATCCCAACAGGACCCTTCTGATAGCAGGCTGGGTGTGTCTCCTCCCAGCCCCTCCCCCAAATAACCACCTCCCCTTCATCAAGGACAAGGAGTTCTTGTTGCAAAGAGGCTTGGGGATGGTGACATTTGTCAGGTGACGTTTCTTCTAGTACCTTTTCCCAGTTCCTTTGCTGTTTCTCATCTGCACAGTCATCCACCCAAGCGTCTGTTGGTTTACTTAGCAAACATCGATTAATGAACTGATCCCCTACTCCGCAGTAGGCCTCATGCTTAGGCTAAGAATCAGGGCTCTTTAGGAGGTGATGCTGATGGGTGGAGTGGGGCCTGAGGTGGGGGCTGTTACCAGGATCAATGCTGGACGGGGGCATCTCCCAGAATTGGGGTGGGGTGGGGGGGCTGCTCAGAGACAGCGTCTCACAGGGAGTGATATTATTTCCCAGATGCTGATTCTTTAAATCTTGCTCCAAATTATTTCCGAAAGCGTGTGTGTTTAATATCTGGGAACCTCCTCCTTGCCGGGGTCTGTGCTAGGGAAGCCAGACTGAGCAGGGCCTGGATCTGCTGTGGACAGCTCCCACCGGAGTGTGTGATGCTTTTATTTATTTATTTTTCTAGAGGGCCTATGCACTCACCAGAGAGGGAGAGATAGAGGAGGAAGGGACCCCTCTTCCACACTGCAATTTCTTCTCCATTGCTCTCTCTTTTCGGGACTTTGGGCACACATGCATATGTGCCCTGAATGTTTATCAAGCCAACAGGTTGGGATTGGAACTGTGGGCTCAGCTAGGTGGGTCTGGCTGCTTTAGCCACCAGGCCATGGAGCTGGCCCAGTGATTCTTAAGTTCTTTGGGTTGCAGATCTTTCGTGAGACTGAAGGTTATGAACTCTTTCTCTAGAGAAATGCATATGTACATACAATTTACATATAACTTTAGGCTCCGCAGAGTTCATCTCCCCACACCCCCAGAGAATCTCAATTAAGAAATGTCTGATCTGGTGGGAGATAAACCTTCATAAATCACAAATATTCCTAAAATATAATACAGACACAGAGAAAAACTTACAGATACTCTGGAAACCAGAGAGGCACCTTAACCTTGCTGGGAGGTGAAGGCAGGGAGGAGTTCCTAGAGGAAGCACTTGTTAAATGGCATAGTTAAGGACAAATAGGCATTAGCCAAGCAAAGAAGTGAGGGAAGGACCTTCCTGAGACCTGCAGGGACCTGGGGAGCCGGGCTTGGGCACAGGCAGCTAAGCCATGTGGCTAGGGACATCAGGAGCAAATCCTTGGCCCCGCATGGCTGCATCTTGGCTCTCCTGGGCCTGCTAACAACCACGCCTGACAGGTGGGCAGGTGCTGAGTGTCATGTGTGCCATCGTCACACACAGTCCCTAGAGAAATGGGCAGCGGGACTACCCCGTGTCACAGGTGAGGAGACTGAGGCCCGTCCTGGGTAAGAGGCCAGCCTGGGCTGCGCTGTCGGTCAGCTGTAGCCCAGACTCTGCCCCTGTCCTGATGCCGTCCTTGCCCGCTAGACCAGCCACCTGTCCAAGGCCCTTTCTCGGGGCATCTACTCCAGGGTCCGAGTGTTCTCCTGGATCCTCTTTTGGAACCGAAGGAGGGTGGGGGCTTCACTGAGGAGGGGTGGGGCGGAGCCAGGTGGGTGCACTCACCTCCTGGATTCTGCTCAAGGGTCCCTGGTCCCCTGCATGGAGAGCATCATGACAGAGGACCGTCTGGACGAAGTGAAAGCCGGTGAGCCTGCTCTGGACTGCTGCGGTTTCGGGGGGATGAGCAGGAGCGCGGTGGGTAACAGGGCAAGGAAGGGGTGTGTCCTGGCAGGGGTCTTCCTCCAGGGTGCTAAGTCCTGTGGGGTACCTAGTATTAGGTATCGGGGGTTATAAGCCCCACTCTGGAAGCTTGCAATGCCAGTCAGGGAATGAAGCTGGGAAACTAGACCAAAAACCGTTTAGTGCAAGGTGAATAGCTGTCTCTTAAGGGGAGAAGACTCATTTTGGAACTGGGGAGGCTATTAAGAGCATGGAAGAAGGCAGGGCAGTTCAGGAAAGCTTCTTGGAGGAAGGGGGGCTTTGATTCAGGCTTTGGAAGATGAACAGCTTGAATGGCAGGGATGAAAGTGAGCTAAAGGGATGCTGAGCAGAGGGTTCCTAAGCCAAGGCAAGTGGGAAGGAAGGAAGGATGAGACCTGAGACCCACACGGGGACCTGGTCTTAATGAGTGGCCTCCCCCATCCCTCTGACCCAGCCCTGGAACTCCTGAGACACGACCCAGAAGCATCGGTGTGTATCTGTGCAGCCCAGGCCCAGGACCACATCCTGGCCAGCTGCTGGAGGAACTCCTGGCCACTGCCACACGGGGACTCGTGGGTGTGTGACCCAGCCAGCACGCACCGCTGGAGCCCCAGCTGTGAGAACCTGCCCACATCCCACCAGCGGCGCTCCTGGGTCATGAAGGCGCTGGCTTCCTGGAAGATGTCCTTGAAGCAGTGATGTCCCCGCCCCACCCACACTCACTGTAAATGCTCCATGGCTGACCTCCCCACCCTGGGCATCTCCTCACGGGGATGCCCCAGGCTCTGGAGCAGCCCGCACTCTGCAACAAAGCTGTGAAAGGAGCACGCCTTCATTTGCACACTCGGTCAGTGTTTCCGGGGCACATAGGCTGTTGCAAGTGTGTAAGTGTGAGAGGCTCAGAGAGGTGACGTGGCTTGCCCAAGGCCATACCGTAAGCCAGCTAGGTGGCCCTGCTTCCTTTCCCCCACGTTATTACAACAAAAGGAGATGGTTCGGGTGGCCCTTGGGGGAGGGAAAGGAGAGAGGAAGAAGAGACTGTCCATGACATCATGCAAACGTGCAGATCCCTGTGCAATGGGGACTGGAGAGAGGGGAGAGGAGGAGGAGAGGGCTGGTCATGAAGGCCTCGAGGCTGGGTTAAGGGGAGACTTCACCCAGAGAGTCTTCAGATGCACTGTGGCATGTGAGGCAGGGGAGAGATGTGGGAGCTTTAGGAAGCTCCCTCCTTGGGCCAGCCAGTGATCTGGTGGTTAAAGTGGCTGGATCCCACGTGACCGGAAAGCATGCCAGTGTGTGTGCTCATTCTCAAAATCCCAAAGGAGGGAGAGATGGAGAAGGGATTGCAGCGTGATCATGCCTCATGGTGGGTACTTTCTCACTTTCTCTTTCTCCTTTGAGTGTATGTCTCTGGCAAAAATTAAAAAAGGAAAAGAAAATAGAAACAAAGAAAAAGCTGCCAGAGTCAGCCTATAGCATGGCAGTTAAGACAGTTGGATCCCAAATGGCTGATTCCATGGTTTGAGTCCCAGACCTGGAAGCTTGAAAAACAGGCCAGGAATGTGCATATGTGACCAAAATCCTGAGAGAAGCATGGAGAACGGAATGCAACGTGGCCACTCCACCTCCCCCGGCGGGGGGCTGATTTCTCACTCCCCCCCCCCCCCCCCCCTCCACCCTTCGGACACGCTCTGTACAC